GTCTCATGTTTGTGAGCATCCTAAGTCAGTGTTCCCTGATAAACTCATCTGATATCTGAAAGGAAGGTAAATATGTATTTTGTAATGATGGTCTGTTTGCCCCCAATGAGGATCAGTTTCATACTGTGTACAATAATTAAATGTTTGTTTCAGTGTAATTAGTTTGAATAGCTGAGATCTTGTTCATGAAAAGATTGTGTGGAAGGAAAACTTTGTCTCCAGTATTACCAAGGCCTGTTTAGAAGGCCTTTTTCTGTTGTACGTTGATATTCTAATTTAGTTTGTTTTGTGATACTTGTTCTTTTTTGTTCATAACAGGATTTTGTGATCTAGTTTCTTGTTTCTTAGAGTATTCTACCACCCTGCACAAAGCTGAATAAAAGCCTGTGCTTTAACACTTTATTTTTTTTTATGTTTCTCTCATCATCTTGGCAAAAATTCCTACGAAGAGCCAACTCTGGATTCCTCACTCCTCCCTGAAATTGTCAGGAACCAAATAAGCTGCTGTGTTTTCAGACTAGAAACTGATTTTGTCGATAAAGTTTTGGAGCTGAGCAAAGTCAGCAAAGTCCATTTAAATATCTGTGGCAATCTAAAGGCTTTATAAATCTTTACATTTCTGTGGTGATGTAAAGGGATGTTAATATTTTATGCATATCTTTAAGTTCCTTTTTATAGCACCAAATGACTGGTCTAAATGAGATTGAGATCCATTCCCTTAGAGTGTGGCTCTGCTCTGCAAAAGGACTGTTAAAATGGCTTATGAGAGCTACATTCAAATTGTGTGCCAGTAATTTTTATAGGAAATATGATCCATCTGCAAGCCAAAACTTATTTCTCATGTACATCTGGAGTCTTAGAATCAAGCTGGATTCTCTTCCTCCCCTACATCATCTTCAGGAATAGAAATGGAGCATGCCAGTCGATGCACTTGCTCTCTGACAGTTTTCCTATTGCCTTTGACAGGTTTGTGTAGTTAGAACAAATCTGAACTCTTTGAAGAAAGGAATAGGCACTGGATGGCCTTCAGTTGTGTTGGCTTTGTTTGGGATAGGGAGAAGAATGGAATTGTAGCTCATATTTGTTGCTAGTGTGAACTATTAGCTTGCCTTTCTTTGTGCATTCACAATCTATGGAATGTGGTCCTATAATTTTCTTCAAATAAGTCTCTGTTGATGTTGTTACTAAAATACTGAGTAAATTCACTTGGTGCTCCCAACTAGCAGAGTTAATGATATGGTTGATGAATACATAAAATACATTTTAATTACTTCTTTGTTGTTATGAGGGTATATAGGTTCTTAATCAGTTAGAAAACAAAGTGTAAATTTTCTTTGTTAAGTAGTTGAAATCTGAACAGAAGTGCTGCATGAAATCTGTCAAATTTACAGTTCTAGTCATGGCATTTAATGGCATGGGTCTTGGGATGAAGAAAATCACACAGATTTCTCTAGAAATAAGACCCAGCTCCCACCTCTATATACCAGTGTAAAAATAGACAGCTTGGGTTCCTGAGCGACAAAGGAGAATCTCCTTTGCAAGTAGACAGGAACTGCAAAAGCTCATGAGTTGCTCTGGAAACTTTTGCTCTGGAAACTAGGAAGTCACAGAACTGCTGCCCAGGAACAACTTTAGGGCTAGAGAAACATTTGTATTTTAGTTATCTACAGCAGCAGTAAGTTTCACTGCATGTGCAATACTGTATAAGAGCATCTGTATTTAACAGAAGCTTACTCCTGGTAAAATTTACAGAAAATCTCTGTAATTGCAGGTGAGTGTTTGATAGAAAACTGCATCATGTAGCACTCTTAATTTTGAACTCCTGCAGTTCCAATCACAGGCCTTTAGTTTGTGCAGTTTTGTATTTGTTTGAAGATGATGTATGTAATCTGTAACGACTTGAGGGTTTTGGCACTTAATTCCTCCCACTAAAATGCATGGGAGGAATTTTATGTTTAAATCAGAAAGATTTAAAAAATAATACAGTGAAGTAAAACTTCCTACCTTTTCCATTCTGAAGTTCAGCTGTAAGAGTAGCAAATTCATTTTAGTTTTAAAGGTTTCAGTTTCATACCAAGGATGCACATATGTGTGTAAATATATATATGTATACACATGTAGGAAAAAATTGTGGCTGAGGGTTAAGGTTTTATCTTCTGCACAACATTGTCTTGAAAGCTGTAGCATAGAATTAACTTTTGTTTAGACTTCAATTAGGTAGCAGAGTCAGACTACACCAGCTACATGTTGAAGACAAGCCTCAATGCTTATAAATGAAATTGGAATCTGGATGCCTTAAACGTCAGGATCATTCAAACATTTGGTAGCACAACCCAACCCTACAGCTACTTCATTTGAGGTCTTAAAGGTGTCATAATGACTTAAATTTAGATTTTCTGGAAGCTGACTGAGAGCAGGTAGGCACCTGTTACTGCCATGTTTTCATGTCAGTAAGAAGAAAGAACAGTGAATCGTGATGGGAAGTGCATTTTCCAAATATCTGTAAAAGTTCTGTGGACTGAGGGGAAAGCCATTCCTGGCTTAGGCCCATTAAAAAGCTTCTCAGAGGATCCTGTCTTTCTCTGCTGTGGAAAGGAGTCCACCTCCCTAAAATAAGAAATCTTAGTTACTTTGCCACAGCCAGACAACTGTCATAGCCTGGTCTTTGATTACACTTACCCTTAAGAATGCGTCCAGAAATGGTATTAGTATGTATCTAATTAAATTAGACTAATAGCTGAATTTAAATAGGGGAACTGATCACTAATCAAACAAAATGGAGTTAAGCTAAATGTAATCCTTGTTCAGGTTGTCTGTGCAGGTCTGAACTTAATTCCTTCCATAATTCAAAGTAGACCTTAAACGAGTGTTCCAGTTTTGTCTTAGTTTTTCACTTTTTAACAGTCACTAGCTATGTGGTTTGTGAGTAGACGAGAAAATTGTTTAAACAACCTAAAAAAAATGGCACTGAAAATGGAAGATAAAGCAGCCTTATTACTAATGGTAACTTGATTACTGTGAACTTACAGCTGAGGCCAAAATTTGGCATCTTTTTGTGAAGCTTTTAGTAATAGTGAGCTTGTATTCCAGACTGTGTATATATACCGTTTTTATCAGAATAATTGAAATAACTCTTTTAGGGAGCTGCATCCAACTGTTCTCTTTAGATTTTTGCTGCTGGAAGAATACAAGGCTGGCAAAGCACACTCAAATAATGAATTCATTGCCTCAGTCCACGGCATCAGAGCTCTTTCCTTCCACTGAGCTCTGATACTACACTCACAGAATCTTTCTTTGCGTGTAGTACCTCCAGGTTTGTCCCATGATGTATGGTGAAGATTTCGTAGTATCACAGAATGGTTTATTTTATAGGAGACCTCTAAAATCATCGAGACCTGACTGAGAAACAGCATCCAGAAATCTTCACCCTTAAGGGAAAAGAGACCTATGTTCTGTATGTATGTATGGGAGCCCCCGGTGGTCTAGGGGAAATGACACTGCACTGTCACTGCAGAGACCCGGGTTCGATTCCCGGTCGGGGCCCCTCCCCGGGCAGATGGAGCTCGTTAGCCCTGTAAGGCAATCCATCTACGTCCTGAGGACCTCGCTGCCACTGTCCAAGCGTGCTTGGCCCCGGCAGATGAACCTCAGGATTAAAGGGTGGGCTCAGTTCCATGCACACTGTGTCTCACCTAAAAAATCCAATGCGCAGGCTGGAAGGTGGAAAGACCTTCCCCGGTTCTTCGTTCGCGAAGAGGCTGGCCAATACAATACAATACAATATACAGTGGTGCCTGCAGATGCTGTAGCTGGTACCCTGTGTTTAACACAGACTAAAGAACAGGAGAATGGCATTTTTGTAGCCTATAATGTTTCTGCTGGTGATAAAAAATGTGGAAAATAGCACGTGACCACATGTTGGTTTAGGCAGTTTGATCCTTGCTTTGATTGTCAAGATGGGTTTTTCTGTCTTATTAGAAAATATGATTTCCCTCACATGTGATACTGCTTGGGAAGAAGAAATGTTTTGAAGTTGAGAGGTACCATAATTGATGAGAAACCTGGGTAAATACATTATTTGCCTTATTTCTTCTCTTCTGTGTGAAAAGAGGGGCCCATTGCATGAGGCACAGTATAGTGTTGTATATTGGCCAGTCTCTTCGCGAACGAAGAACCGGGGAAGGTCTTTACACCTTCCAGCCTGCGCATTGGATTTTTTAGGTGAGACACAGTGTGCGCGGAACTGAGCCCACCCTTTAATCCTAAGGTTCAGTAATTACCCTAGAAACTTCTTCTAATAACAACGATGTTTTGGGAAGCCTGATTATGGCTCTTGAAATACCACCAGGACTTAGGCAAAGCTCGTCACTGATTCCAAATGAAGACTTGCCCTCTAAGATTGGTGGTAAAGCATAAATCTGTGTAGTACATGATGCCCATTAACACAACTCTGTGCCTAATTCATTGGATACGTATTAATGCCAATACCTGTGCTCTGTAATTTAAACCATTACCAAAAGCATAAGCTGTTCATAAGCTGAGCTCAATAGATGTATGCTTAAAGATAATTATGCATTTACTGTGTTTTAATTCTGATTATTGTTTTCTGTCAGCAGGCTTGATGAGTTAAAACTATTTTAGCAGCATTTGTCATTATTCTGGCAAATCATTGCTCTAAATGAATCACTGCTAGGTCCTATGAAATTCCGATGCCTTTTTTTCATTTTGCTGGGTTTTTATCCTCCAGTATTCAGCTGTGTGTAAACTGAATGTGAAGCCATTAGAATCATGGGCTCAGTGATAGCTTGACTCACTGGAATGTGGAGGAGAATGAAAATAATCAGTTTAGCATGTTAACGGCAAACTTTATTTCTCCCTTTTTACAGAGAAGTCTGAAATACTGAAGCAAGCCATACATTGGAATAGCCTGTTATTGTGTTAATTTTATTAACTTTGTCTTATCCTAATTATAATACCTTTTTTTTTTTTTTTTTTTTCAGATCAGTGAATGGCTCTGTTTAAACTGCCAGATGCAAAGAGCATTAGGAGGTGACCTAGCACCAGGTCATGGTCCCGGGCCACAGCCACCTCCACCCAAACAGAAGACACCCATTCCACCTTCAGCAGCTAAACCATCCCCCCAGCCACAGCCAGTTCAAAAGAAAGATGTTTCTCCCAAACCTGATCCTTCGCAGACAGCAGAATCCAAAAAAACCCTTCCACAGAAAAAGCAACCGTCCTTGCCTGGGTCTCCCCCTGTAAAATCGAAACAACCCCACACAGAGCCCACTGAGACATCCCAGAAAACAGATGCTACTCCAAAGTCTGATCAGGTCAAGCCAACGCAGGCTGAGGATAAGCAAAAACAACCCAGTGCGGAGAAGCCTGTGGCGGACACTTTGCCTACTTCTGCAGTACCAGGGCAGAAACAGGACTTGGCAGGTCCCAAACCGCCACCAACTCAACAGAAAGTGACAGATTCCCCAAAGCCAGAACCTGCCAAGCCGTCACAGGACACACGTCCAGCTGGGGATAAGCCAGATTCCAAACCTGTTCCACAGGTGTCTCGGCAGAAGTCAGACCCCAAGCTTGCGTCTCAGCCTGCGGCTAGACCAGATGCTAAAACTCAAAAGCCTGTTGAGCCAACACAAACAAAAGATGATCCTAGAAAGTTACCAACAAAACCAGCCCCAAAGCCTGATAGCAAACCAGCTCCCAAGGGCCCACAAGCAGGGGCAGGACCCAAGCCAGTGCCAGCACAGCAGCAACCTCAGAAAACTCCAGAGCAATCAAGGCGTTTCAGCCTTAATCTGGGAGGCATCACCGATGCCCCTAAGCCTCAGCCTACAACACCACAAGAAACAGTTACTGGGAAACTCTTTGGATTTGGAGCTTCAATCTTCAGCCAGGCCTCAAATTTAATTTCCACAGCGGGTCAGCCGGGGTCTCAGACATCAGCCCCACCTGCTCCTGCAGCAAAGCAGCCCCAGCCTCCGTCACAGCCTCCAGCCCCTCAGGCAGCCCCCAAAGAGGCTGGTCAGGCTCAGCCTCCTCCAAAAGCTGTTCCTGCAAAGAAAGAAGCCAAGCCTCTTACGACTGAGAAACCGGAGCCATCAAAAGCGGATAGTGTTTTAACAACTAAAGGATCTGGTTCAGAGAAGAAAAGTGGTTTGGCTAAAGACAGTAAGCCTGAGGCTGCTGAAGCTAAGAAACCTGCTGGGCTGTCGGAACCAGAGAAAGCCAGCCAGCCTGAAGCATCTTGTCCCCTTTGTAAAACTGGACTAAATATTGGTTCTAAGGATCCCCCCAACTTTAATACCTGTACAGAGTGCAAGAAGGTTGTGTGCAATCTCTGTGGATTTAACCCAATGCCGCACATAGCTGAGGTAAGGCAATGAAATCTGTATTTACCCTGTATTCTTACCTGCAGGCTACCTGTGCTGTGGAGACCAGCTTGTAGCTGATTTTTAGCTGTTGAATTGTCAAGATAAATTGGAGTATTTTATGACCTGAGGGCTTTTAAAATTAAGTATCTGTGTTGTATGAAATTTAGTCAGTTGTTGGATAGTACTTCTGATGAATTTTCGGCATATAAGGGAGTCTGGTATAGGTGGTTGCTAGAGTGTTGAGACATAACAGATATGGTTATGAGCTCTTTAGAAAGTGGTGCTACTATGACACAGCAAACCACTGTACTTGCAGTCTCCTATGGGATAAAGTTCTTTTTCATATGCTTCAGTGTTGTAATGTGTGCTTCTCTAATGAGTGCCTCTGATACACAAAATTACTGAATGAAGGAATATGTTAATGCTTAGCTATTGTCCTTCCCTCCTTCTCAATATATCCCTAAATTTATTCCATTAATCTCATTCTGGCTCTGGACTCTTTGTATATGCTGATATACTCATTAAGAAGATTGAAGTTTGAGTGATACCTGTGGGTGAAATACGTAATTTTTTGGTGCAACAATGCAAGGTTTACAAAGTTACTTCATTCATTAAGGAGTGTGAGTTTGAAAGTGCGTTTTCCATTACTGCCTGAGAAGCAACTTATATTTCAAAGAATTACACAACTTATTGTCAACAGTTTCTTCACAAACTATATTTTTATCCTCTTCCTTTCCCCTTGTAATTTTTTTTTTTGAAAGGAGATTGAAAACTTTTTACTAGCTCAGTGGAAATTGAGAAGCATATTTTACTTGCCCTATCACTTTGGCAAATTTATTTCAACAGAAGCAAACCACCTAAAAATACTTGTGGGTAATTTAAATGTGTAAGTTGGTCTGTGCAGCACATGACAGTAGCTGTCAATGTTCTGTCTTTGAAATTTGAATGACTACATGAAAAATTACTCCCAGGGTTAAAGATTATAGCATCTCTGCCTTAAGGTGAGAAAAAATGTTGGAAGAAATATCAGGTTGCAGGAAAAATATTGCTTATGTTGTTTGTGTATGCCTTTTTTTGCAGATTATTTCCTGGAATATACTATCATTTGAAAGGCCTTTGTCCTTCTATAATAAGCACATTTTATCAAATATATGAATATGTTGTCTAATGTCTTTGTGGTCATTGAGGTCAGAAGGAAAGGTCTGAAAACACAGGAAGAGTGATCAGTGATTGAAAGTCAGGATTCAATTGATTTTTAGTTTATGCACTGAATATGCACCATCAAACACACACATTCATTCATCATTGTCCCACTGCATGCGTACAAACACACACACACACACTTAGTTTAGTGTGTTTAAATGTGAAAAATACCTATGACTTTCCTCAGAGGGACTCTGGTGTGCATACACGGAGTACCACAGAAATGAGATGTGTCAGTTCTGGTGAAACACAGTGCTCAAATGACAACTATGAAAGTTCCAATGCATGACTTGACTTCTTCAGAGTTGACTTAGGTATGGCACTGCTTTGTGGTTTGCAGTCATGTTCCCTGGATTTCTTCTGTTAAAGATGAAAAAGCTGGTACTCTGTTTCTTTATTTCCATCACTGTTACTGTTAGAAGGTTTTCTCCTTGTTTCCACTCTTTGGATACACAGAGCTTGAAACTGATTGATTTTCTTTAGACTCTGACTTCCTTACACTTTTCTTTTCCTCTTTTTTGTCTTTGCTTGCATTTTCTTTCTCCATTACACATTTCCACCTCTGCCCCATTTTCTGCCTTCTTTTTTTCCACTAAGTTTTGCTAAAAAATGGCAACCTACTTTTCCTTTACAACGGGAGGTGGTTTGTTTGACTGAAGACATCCCAGCTTTCCTCGTCATAAAGATTGGAGACAGAAAAGGGAGCTCATCCTCTCCTCTCCCAAATGAGCTGTGTAAATGATGTGTTTATCCTCAGATAGAAATTCTGTCCCTGGATGCCCTGTATATACCTCTTACTTGACAGAAACATGATGACAAGCCAGCAGTTTATGCTCACTTGCATACTCCTTTCCTCCACCAAATTCTTCTATCTGTTGAGTACAATCTTGGAGATTTTATTTACTTGTGTCTTTATTTCTTTGGGGGTTATGAAGGAATAGAAAGGCTTTTAAAAATTGGTCTTTCTGATGGTTTTCTACCTAATTCTTTTATTCCTGTATGCTGCATTCAAAGAAAAAATATAATTCCAGAAGCTACGTGCCCTCTTCACCCCAGAAGGGGTTTAGAATGAACAAACATAATGGATATATTAGTTTTTCTTTGGGTCTACAGCTGTATCACAGTTATTTTAATAGTTATTTATGTATTGTCTACGTGTTGTTGCCTCAGTAATGGCTGAAAATGAGTTGAGTTTTATTGACCAAGTGGTGGCTGAACCCTTGTTGCCAACAAAGCTCTTATTGGGCTGCATGGTAAGGATCAGTCCCGTGGAACAGGGAAATCAGTGTTTCATTGCCAAATGCAGAGGTGCATCTAAACCCCATGAGCACTTCTACCTTAAGATCTCTCAGAAGAGAATTTCCTCCAGCCAGTGTGCTGCTGTACTGCAGACATGGCTGAGGGTTTTTTTAAGGGAACAAGTGCTTTCTTACAGTGGCAGTTGTTTGTTCTTGCCTGTGTGTGACAAAAATAACTTTCAAAAAAGTCTTTAAGCTGCTGCAGTCAGTCCTCTAATAACCTCTCTACTGCAGGAAATAAGAACTAGACTCTTACCTAGTCAAAATCAACAATGTGCTATTTAATTCAGGGAAATTGTTCTTGTTTGTGCAAGCAGAGAATTAGGCTAGAATACTTTTTTCTAAATTGGGCTGATTGTTCTTTTTCTCCCTGATTTGTTGATCCAACAGTCAAACAGTTATTTACTTAAATGGTAATTTATCCATGATGCAAACAGCCACAAATGATTAAATAAATGACACTTGATAGATTTCAGAGACCCACAGGACCATGGGAACTCTAGTGCATTAGCAGACTCCTTATTCTGCCATTTGCTCAATGGGGAGGAGCACTGTTTACCAGCTCTGTAATTAGCTTTCCAGCTCAGGTAGTTGGAAGCAGCTCTATTTTTAGTAACAAAGCACAAGATCGCAACTGCTGAAGCCAGAAATGAAATGTGTGGCAACGACCATTTTGTGCATTTAAAACTCAGTGAAGCTGTTCAGAATATTGAACAGGAGCGGAGATGGTTGCCTGTAATGTAATTAAGTATGTTGAGGTAACAGGGTCAGGAATTTAGAACCTGTGATAAATAAATGCAGTAATAAAAAAATAAGAACAACAACAACAACAAAATGATTTAAAAACTAAGCTATGAAAAAATAAGCTATCCAGATTTTTAGAATCTGTATGTGCAAGATGGAAAGATAACAATAGAGTCACGTGTTATGAACAGGAAGAGCTGAAAATGTGATGTGTGTATATGTGAGTGTGCTAATGGATTTAATCTAATAGAACTGCCAAGGGAATAACAGAAGCACTTTTTAGTCTACTGATAGCTATAGAATTATCTGGAAAGGTACTCTGAGGTTAAGAATGTTCCATGTGTGAAATAAATTACTGGGGCTACAGAAAGGAGAGAATTGTTTTGAATGATGGAGAGAGACAGGGAGGACTGGGGAAGGGCAGAAAAGGCATCAAATCTCTGACTTGCTAAGGATTGTTTTGAAGAAGATGTAATCATAATAGATGATATAAACAATTTTGGAGTGATGTTTCTTAATATATTTATTATAGCAAATATAGCCTGTATGAAATTGTTTGACATGGATGGATACGATGGCAGAAATCTATAAAACTTGATGGTTCCTGTCCAATCTATATTCTTATATTTTAATCTTTTTTCAGGTGAGTCCCTGATGTAAATAATTCTGCTAGATTCTGTTTTTCCAAAATCTCACTGATATATAATTGCCAATGGAGTGAGGCCCTGAGCAAGTGTAACCCATTTTTCAAGCTTTGAAAGTAGGCTTTAGAACAGTAATTGAAAGAACCCCCAAACCTATACTAAGTGAATCAAACCCTGCTATTGAATGACCAAATGTGCCCTGGACTTTTTAAAGCAAGTATGCAGCAACATTATAAAGTAATAATCCATCTATTATTCTAATGAAAATCCCTAAAATGGTGTACTGCATCACTTGAGGTGACACACACTGGCTATCTTTAATTAACTAACAACTCTGTATTGTCATGTATTTCCTACTTGCCAAACCTCAGACCACTCTGCAAATTGGCAGGTTTAACTTCTATTAGAAATCTCTATCTCCTCTCTTGTGTTTGGTGATGGGTTGTTTTGGAAACAGATGGTGTCTGGGAAACACAGTGAAGAAGAATTTGCACTAAAGATACCAAGAGAAAAACAACCACTCTTTTCAATTGCATAATTTATTTTCTCTGCTTCTTCCTCTCCCTTTAAAGATCCTTTTAAAATTTTGGTTGTAAGAGAGCGAATGCTTTTATTATTGAATAACAGTGGCTAAATAAAACAGAAAATAATAGTCTAACTCAATGTACTCCCTAAAATTTATGGAAATATTTCCTTTAAATGATAATTCTTTATAATTGAGAAAATGTAAAACTGCTGCTAATTATGATTTTGAAAGATAAAATCTGGCATTGAAAAACAGAGTGCATGTTAGATGATAAAAACGCCACTGTATTTCTTGACTGTCAGAATGAAATTAATTTAACTTCAAATGAGGTACCCTTCTCCTGTTAAACTAATTCAATATGCATAATAGAAAAAAAAATTAAGTGGAAATATTTTTTACAGCAGAATGACTCACCTCTTCCACTTATCCTGTAAAGCACATATATTGTGTATATACAGAATGGAAGGGCTAATATGGAGTGACCCTTTGATGGATGATTTAGTCAAAATTGAACATAGAGAAATATACTTAAAAAAAATATAATGTCTGAATTCACTTTTCAAATAAGGCTGAAAAGCTTAAGTT